CCCAACAATGCAGAGGAGCTGAAGACGACTATCAGAGCAACCTGGGCTCTCATAACACCTGAGCAGTGCCACAGACTGATCGAGTCCATGCCACGCCGCATTACTGCAGTTATTGAGGCAAAAGGAGCCCCGACTAAGTATTGAGTGCTATACATGCACATTCTTTTCATGTTCATTCTTTTCAGTTGGCCAACATTAGAGAAACAAACATTTTTTCATTGGCCTTTAGAATATTCTAATTTTCTGAGATACCAGATTTGATGTTTTCATTGGTTGTCACCTATAAATATCAAAATTAAACGTAATAAACATCGGAAATACATTGGTCTGTGTGCATTGCATGAATATAATGTACAAGTTTCACGTTTTGAATGGAATTACTGAAATATTTTCAACCTTTTGATGATATTCTAATTTACTGGCCAGCACCTGTACAAACACAGTCACACACTCCCTCCCTCATGCTCACACATGCACATACAACCAAAGACTTACAAAAATGCATGCCGGACACCCACTCATGCTCCCCATACACGCCCTATTCACTCTGGTCCCGGTACTGCTGCACATAGGGTACAACCATCACCGGTAACCAGAGTTTGACTCTTTCTGCTGGGGTGCTGATGAGCAGGCTCCCCCGCCCAACGCTGAGCACAGTTATCCACCACCCCAGACCCCAACCAGATGGCCAGATCTCCCTCCTAGCCTCCAGCCCCAGGAAGCCAAGCAACAACAGAGGTGTGCTAAGACCCCTAGTCTCCCTCCACCTGCTCCAATATAGTGTTGTGTGTTGATGAGGTGTATTCCATGGCTGTGGTGAGCGGGCAGTGCGGGCATTTTCTGGCCTATGCCAGCTGATGCCACCGCACCACCCCACTTGCACCCACAGCCCTCGGTGTCTAAGTGCAGTTTAAAATTGGAAGTGGGCACCGGCACTCGGGAGGAGGCTGAGAAATCCCCCTGCCAAGTGCCTTTGAATGTGCTCACTCCCAAGGCCCTAAGTGTGTTTTTGCGTGGAATGTCATCGGTGGAAGTGTATAAGGAGCAAATAAAATTGGGGGGCAGGTTGCCACAGGAATGCGGAAATGGTGTTCATACCCGCACCCCTGACTTGTCCACCCCCCAAGGTCCTATGTGCATGTTTGTGTGATGATGTGAGGGAGCAGGCGGTGAGAAATATGCGGGGATGGGGAGGAATGGCCGGTTGGGCTCAGCCCTTCAGGGAGCCAGCTCCCCCACTGGCCCCAATAGGCACCTCTGTTGTCAAATTGCCACCCAGGAAATGGAGACCCCAGCCCATCCTGCCAGGACCCAAAGCAGCAGCATTACAGAGCCTCACAGAGTCTGAGCGCACCAACCCAGCCCCACCCCAGCAGAATATTTATGCCCATCCCTGCATTTGCACAACTTCCAGAATATATAAGACATAGGACATCCAGGTAAGTTTGGGTCCTCCCCCTCCTGGACCTCCCCCTCCCCTGTGATGGAACAGCAGAGGAGCCAAGGTCTACCCGAGGGCCCTGAACCCGGACCAGGCACTGCTGCATGTTCCCGTCTTCTTCCCGGCAGCATACATTTCAGGACCCGACCCCCAAGGCCCTGCCCAGATCCCCACACGGGACCGGCCACCCCAACACCCCGAGCCCCCAGGCCCCCACCCAGACACGCCCAGGGGCAATGCAGCTGCCAGGCAGTGACCCATGGCCGCCGCCAAGACCTCCAAGGGGCCCCCCTCACAACCGCCAACAGTCCACCCCCCGAGGCAACCCAAGCACCTCCAGAGGGGGGCAACGGCCCCCCAGTCCCAGACATCCCCAGTGAACCCACCCCCAAGGAACATCTGGATACTCCAAACTCAGACCCTCCACCCCCCACCCTCCCCCCCACCCACCCACATCATCCCGCAGGACAACATCAACTGTCCCCCATCATCGCTATGTGATGGAACCGATCAAAGGAGCCCATAGAGATTGATTTGAAGTGGAAGCAGAGGCTATATCAAGTGTAATATGATCTAACAAAAGATTTCTATATTTTTCCAGTTCAAGAGGATAGTTTTCTTAGCGATGCATATGGCAGTCTGAACCACGTGAACCAAAGATGTTTCAGTCGGGACATCGTCCAGGTTTCCCAGTAAACAAAGAGAGGGGGTGGTTGGGATATGATATTTCAGACACTTTGACAGGTCTTCACATACTCTACCTCAAAATTCCTGGACAGGTAGACAGGACCACAGTGCATGAATGTAATTGTCAGGAACGTTGTTTGTGCAGTGTGTACAGGTGTCAGACGACACAAACCCCATCTTGAACATCCGATGACCTGTATAGTGTACTCTGTGTAGAATTTTGTACTGAATTAATTGTAAATTGGAGTCTCTGATCATTTTAAAAGATTTTAAACAAGTTTGGGACCAGAAGTTCTGGCCAAAGCTGACTGATAGATCCACCTCCCGTTTTTCAATAGGGATTGCTATTCTATCGTCTATTTTGGACAGTGTCTTATATACTTTAGACAGTAGTTTGGGGGGTTTGAGATTATAGAAGTCTAATACCCTTGGTGGTGTTTGTAATTCTATTTTATTGAGCTTACATTTTTGTTTGACTACAGATTTAATTTGGTGATATTCTAAAAAGCTATTCTTATCTATTCCAAATTGGGAGGCTATTCTATTAAATGGGATGAAGTCCAATCCTTCATATATGTGTTCCAGGTATAGGATCCCTTTATTTTTCCAGTCCGGAAGGTTCAACATTTTATTATTTTGCAAAATATCCGGATTATTCCAGATAGGTGTGCGTCTGCATGGTACTAGTGAAGACTCTGTCATTTTTAGATACTCCCACCATGCTGTCAGAGAGGTGCTGATACTAATACTTTTGAAGCCTTCATGTTTTCTTATGCTTGAGCTAATAAATGGTAAGTCTGAAAGCTCTATCGTATTGCAAAGTGTCTGTTCTATATCTAACCAAGACTCATCTAGTGGGTTATCTTGCAACCATCTTGGTATATATTGCAGTCTGTTGGCTAAGAAATAATAATAAAAGTTGGGTAGATTCAGTCCTCCTCTGTCTTTGGTCGTCTGAAGCGTTTTTAAGCTAATTCATGGAGGTTTATCCTGCCAAAGGAATTTAGTAATTGAGGAGTCCAGAGATTTAAACCAGTCAGCTGGTGGTTTGTTTGGGATCATCGAGAATAAGTAATTTATTCTGGGTAAGACCATCATTTTAATTGTAGAAACTCTCCCCATGAGTGATAGTGGTAAGGATTTCCATCTTGCAAGATCATCTTCCACTTTCCTTAAAAGTGTGATGTAGTTTAGTTTGGTTAGATCTGCTAACTTGGGAGAGACATTAATTCCCAGGTATGTGATATTCCCTGACTCCAATTGTGTATTAAGTAAATTGACAAAAGAGAAATTAATTGGTAGAACTGTGGATTTTAACCAGTTTATAGAGTAATCTGAAACTCTTGAAAAAGAGTTCATCAGTTCTATTGAATGGGAGAGAGAGGATTGAGAATTCTGGAGAAAGAGTAAAACATCATCTGCATAAAGACTGATCTTGTGTTCTACTTTCTTACACTTTATCCCTTTAATACCTGTTGTTTGCCTAACTGCTGCTGCTAGTGGTTCAATAAAGATAGCAAACAGTGAGGGGGAGAGTGGGCATCCCTGCCTGGTCCCCCTCTGAAGACAGAAGCTAGCTGATATTTGGTCGTTCGTCCTGACACGTGCTGTTGGTGAACTGTATAATGTTTGTAGCCAGTTTAAGAAGAAGTTCCCAAAACCAAACTTATGTAAAGTTGCAAATAAGAACTTCCAGTTAACTCTATCAAAAGCTTTTTCTGCACCTAGAGATAATATACTAGTTTCTATGTTACTACTGTAAGAGAAATCTATCAAAATTAAGTAATTTACGTGAGTTTGTGGATGACTGTCTACCCTTAATGAAACCAGTTTGGTCAGGGTGTATTATGAAGGGCTTTTTGTCAGGGCTTTACAAATTATTTTGAGATCAACATTAATATGAGAAATTGGGTGATAGCTGGTAGGAAACAGCTTTTTCTATCATGTTCCCGTACAAGGAGATTGGAGATGGGTCTGTAGTTATTCATCACTGAGGGATTTAGTTTCGTTTTCTCTAGAAGAGATTCAACAGCAGCAGCTTTCACTGATGTAGGAACATACCTGATGCTAAGGAACAGCTAACAGTTTTCACTACATCAGCTTTTAAGCAGCCAAAACATTGTAGAAGAAGTGAGTTGGCAGGTTGTCCAGACAGCAGGTAGATGAGTTTAACCTTAACTATGTTCTCCAGCGCTGATCACGCTGGAAGCTGCTGTTGTAGCCAGATTGCTGCTGTGTGGCTGCAGCTGTGGTCTGGTTGTGATGGATGGTCTGATGTTTATGGTCTTCTCATTGAAAAACGATGCTAACTCATTAGACTTAGTTTGGGGAATGAACTCGGGGTTTACCTGTGTCGGGAGACTAGTTAGCCTCTCACTAGTAGCACACATAACACAGGTTAATATTACCACTGATGACTTTGCGGTGAGTAGCAACTACGCTAGGGGGGAGGAGATTCGGTGGTGATGTCACATATGAGACGTACCAATGTCTGATTTGTGGTCATGCTGATTACGAACTTTTACAAGCTGATAAATCTCAAAGCGGCGTGGTGGAAACGCCATCATTACCTTCCATTTAAACTGAAGCACATGTGTGTGATTCAGGGCGTAAGTGAACTTAGCCTCGTTCAGGGACCCATGAGCTGACAGAAAGGGGAGGAGACTAAAGCTCCTCCCACACAAGGCCGGCTCCACCCCCCGCTGTTAACACCAGGTTTAAAAGCAGGTTTATTCCTAGCCTTATTGGTCTTAAACATGGCTTTAGTCAGCCCTGATTAGTGACAGTTTTACATCTCTATTCTTTTATCAATCACAAGTTTCAGCCCCGGTGTTCAGTGAGAAGCTTAATAAACGAGGCCGTGGTCGGTTACCTGATGCTGGTTTCCAGTGTTCCATTACCAGTCACTGAGACGACAGCAAATGGTGCATCTTGAGGCTGAGCTGGCAGCAGCGACGCCTCTCCAGACCTGCCAGGAGTCAAAATCTGAACCATTCCATCGTTCTGACTCTTCTGAACCTATCCCAGCACCAGCAGGTGTGAGTTACCTGTATCCCAGGTACTGACAGATGAAGTGGGACAGGTGAAAGCTCCAGGTGTCAGCGCACACAGTGAGTAGAGAAGAGATCACGTGAAAGTGGAGGTGACCAGAACCATTAACCTGCAACAGAACTGATAGAAAATGTTGAATTTCAGGAGGGATGTATTATGTTTGTGAGCACACCTGAGCACCTCAGGTAGAACATCCACAGCACCTGGTTTCTGAGCCGGAGGCAGCCATATCTGAACAGCAGGCCAGAGAGTGAAAGTGAATCTCTTCTGTATATTTTTTAATTTTATTTCAGAACCAGGGGGTCAGGAGGTCGAGCTGGACACTGTCAACGGAGTGGACCCGTAGACTGGCTCTGATAAGACCCGTCTAGTCTGAGACATCTCCAGGTCACGACAGGAAGCGGGAATGCTTGTTGAAGGCTGTTTGGCGGCTCTTAGAGGAGCCGTTGTGTCTGAAATCACTCGCAGCGGTTCTGAGAGGCTTTGACTTGATGGTTTCAAAAGGTTCTTCCACCGATTTGGCCGGATGGGGAGTCAGCTAGGAACTGAATGATTTCTGTAAACATTTCTGTTTTATCGCCTGACTTATTTATAAATTTTGCAAACGAGAATTTGAAACAATTGAGGGCATCACCAAAAACACCTCAGAAGTCCCTCCTCCCTTCAGACACAAAGATGGGTAACTCTGTGTGAATGAATGAGGATGCTTAAACACTCATGTGAAGTGGATGTTAAACATTAATAACCATCTATTTATCATGTGTATGAGTCCTAATAGACAAACCTGTTCAATCAACACATACTGATCTGGAGTAGTTTAACTCTGAATTAGTAAGAAAGATTTTCATTTTAAAGCACAGATTATTCATGAGGGGGGCTCACTCCTCACCCCCGCCACATGGACCCGAGGGATAAAGCACCAACCCTGCTCAGTGGTGCACGTTCCTCGCAGGGTCACACCCATTAGGGCAGTGGGAGGGTTAAACATCTTGTTCATTTGATTATTTCATCCTGTAAGTTGTAACGTCACATAGGAGCTGTTAGGAAGATAAACTCTATTCAATCAATCAATCAATCAATCAATCAAATTTTATTTCTAAAGCGCTTTTCAAACAAAGTGTGATTCAAAGTGCTTTACAAAATGACCCCAGATTCCCATAACAGGTTAAAAACATTTACAAACATATGCAATCACACGCACACACACACAGACTCACACACACACAAGTAAAAATTATATTAGGCTGAGTCCAGATGTGCCAAGTAAGGTAACGCAAGGAAACGCCATCAGAGGAGCCGTCTGCCCCGGCAGCATCAGGTCTTCCACACTAAGTCAGGGCGCTCAGTGGAGGGGGGGCATAGACCCCCACCTATAGAGCGCCCAGGAAGCTACAGTCGACCACCGCTCCCGGGGCAGAGGGCCCCCACAGAGGAAACACTGGATTAAAATGAATAAAAATGTAATAAAAGAGCTAATATAAATGACAAAAATTAGAAAATAAGTAATAAATAAAATGATATAAACAGTAAAATAATAATTTAAATAATAAAACTGTGCTAAAATATAATCATATAAAACATGCAAAGCAAGTAATAAAACATAATCATGTAAAATGAGAAATAAAACTGTAGAAAATATTTAGATAAAAGCTAACCTAAAAAGATGGGTCTTGAGTCTTGACTTAAAAACATGAACGTTCTCTGCGGCCCTGAGGTCCTCAGGGTGAGGATGTGGAAGTCTCAGCTGAGACCTTTTCTGAGGATGTTGTGTAACGAGGACCGGTGCAGAGCTGTCTGGAGGCCAGTCAGATGGTGTGTTTGAGTCTGCCAATGAAAATCCATTTCTGTCCACGTTGGTGAAAATTCGACCTTTGGTGCGTCACACAGACACACCGTGAACAGAGACGACGGTGTTCACACATGGGACGGTGTTATCAGCATGAAGGATGAACATAAACAGACGTGACGCCACGAACAGCTGGCGGCTCTGACGAAGGGCCAAAGGTAAAGAAACATCTAATTACTGCTAAAGAAGACCATGAAAGTGAATCTGTTGAGTGAATGAGGGTTGGGTTGGGTTATCCTGACTCATCCCTTTAGTTATGCAGCAACTGTAATCTGAACAGAACCCTTTCAGCCCTAGAACCACGACCTTCCGCCATTACAGCCCTCACCGGACCGAAGGAGGAGGAAGTGACCTCGGGTAGGAAAAGGAAGCAGCATCAAGAGATACACGCCCCTAAATAAATAAATAATAAATAAATAAATAAGAAATTTAATATTTGTTGCTTCAGCATTATTTCAAAATAACACACACACACACGCTTTTGTCCTGTGCCACGTCCTGACAGACATTCACCTGATTCTGCAGAATTTGGTGGAGCCGGTGGCTCAAGAACATCATCAGAACCATCTGGGTCGTGGTCCTGAGCTAGATGCCACTGATCCTATGTAGTGATTATTGTTTGGTGACATACCGCAGTCGGCCTCGTCAGACCCGTCAGGACAGTCGGCAACACCATCGCAGAAACCGGTTCCTTGGATACAACTTCCTGTCTGACACTGAAACTGATGAGCTGCACAGGGGGCTGTTCACAAACACACGATTAATAATCAGTACGTCTGATAAACACAACGTGTGTGAGCCGTGAGTCTGAGCTCACCCGGAGACCCCAGGTCGACCCCACAGGTGAAGTTGGCTCTGAACCCACGACCGTAGCCTTCAGAGTCAGTAAAAAACCAAACTGTCATCTCATTGGCTGTTGAGAACAAATCCTGGGCGGGGCCTTTGCTGCCAGTGAGAACAGCTAGGAAGGAATCATGAAAGAGTTCACACTAGAAGTCACCTGTGCAGGTGATGATGAAACAGTAGAACGCAGAAGATAAAAGCAGGACCTCACCCAGCAACGTGGAGTCAGCCCCGGCCCCATCGCGCACCTCAACCACGTCAAAGTTCGCTTCCACATCAAAGTCTAGGAAATGCAGCTGGATGTTTTGTCCCTCTGCAGCGTGCAGAGTCCACAGACCTGCAGCAGAGGACCAAGGGAGGGGTTAGGTTCATAAATAGCACGACACATTCCGGTTCAAGAACATTACACACTGAAGGTGTGTTTCACTGAAAAGCCATGCTTTATGATGATTTCTGATGGTAAGGTATGGTCAGCAGGTGTTACAGATGGGGTGAAGTTCAGTAACGGAGTCAGACAAGGAGGCGTTACATCTCCTCTTCTTTTAACCTGCGCATGGATGACTGATGAGTGAGGTTAAAGGCAGCAGGACTGGCTGTGCAGCTGGTGGTGGCGCCATCAACCATCTGATGACTTAGTGGTTCTACGTCCGAGCACCGCTGGTCTACAGCAACCACTAGATATCTGCTCTGACTATGGAGGAGAACACAATGCAACTACAAGTGTGGTTCTGATCTGCCGGGCCAAGGAGGACGAGCAAATGAAGTTTCCAGATTTTTACCTGTCAGACTCTGTGATTAGAGTCATCAACAGCCTCATGTGTTGGTCCTTTATCACAGAGGACATGAGATATGATGATGACACACACAGGCAGGGCCGGATGTACAGGGAGTGCACAATTATTAGGCAAGTTGTATTTTTGAGGAATAATTTTATTATTGAACAACAACCATGTTCTCAATGAACCCAAACAACTTATTAGTATCAAAGCTGAATGTTTTTGGAAGAAGTTTTTAGTTTTAGCTATTTTAGGGGATATCTATGTGTGCAGGTGACCATTACTGTGCATAATTATTAGGCAACTTAACAAAAAACAAATATATACCCATTTAAATTATTTATTTTTACCAGTGAAACCAACATAACATCTCCACATTCCCAAATATACATTTCTGACATTCAAAAACAAATCAGTGTCCAATATAGCCACCTTTCTTTGCAAGGACACTCAAAAGCCTGCCATCCATGGATTCTGTCAGTGTTTTGATCCGTTCACCATCAACATTGCGCGCAGCAGCAACCACAGCCTCCCAGACACGGTTCAGAGAGGTGTACCGTTTTCCCTCCTTGTAAATCTCACATGTGATGATGGACCACAGGTTCTCAATGGGGTTCAGATCAGGTGAACAAGGAGGCCATGTCATTAGTTTTTCTTCTTTTATACCCGTTCTTGCCAGCCACGCTGTGGAGTACTTGGACGCGTGTGATGGAGCATTGTCCTGCATGAAAATCATGTTTATCTTGAAGGATGCAGACTTCTTCCTGTACCACTGCTTGAAGAAGGTGTCTTCCAGAAACTGGCAGTAGGACTGGGAGTTGAGCTTGACTCCATCCTCAACCTGAAAAGGCCCCACAAGCTCATCTTTGATGATACCAGCCCAAACCAGTACTCCACCTCCACCTTGCTGGCGTCTGAGTTGGACTAGAGCTCTCTGCCCTTTACCAATCCAGCCACGGGCCCATCCATCTGGCCCATCAAGACTCACTCTCATTTCATCAGTCCATAAAACCTTAGAAAAACCAGTCTGGAGATATTTCTTGGCCCAGTCTTGACGTTTCAGCTTGTGTGTCTTGTTCAGTGGTGGTCGTCTTTCAGCCTTTCTTACCTTGGCCATGTCTCTGAGGATTGCACACCTTGTGCTTTTGGGCACTCCAGTGATGTTGCAGCTCTGAAATACGGCCAAACTGGTGGTAAGTGGCATCTTGGCAGCTGCACCCTTGACTTTTCTCAGTTCATGGGCAGTTATTGTGCACCTTGGTTTGTCCACACGCTTCTTGCGACCCTGTTGACTATTTTGAATGAAACGCTTGATTGTTCGATGATCACGCTTCAGAAGCTTTGCAGTTTTAAGACTGCTGCATCCCTCTGCAACATATCTCACTATTTTTGACTTTTCTGAGCCTGTCAAGTCCTTCTTTTGACCCATTTTGCCAAAGGAAAGGAAGTTGCCTAATAATTATGCACACCTGATATAGGGTGTTGATGCCATTAGACCACACCCCTTCTCATTACAGAGATGCACATCACCTAATATGCTTAACTGGTAGTAGGCTTTCGAGCCTATACAGCTTGGAGTAAGACAACATGCATGAAGAGGACGATGTGGACAAAATACTCATTTGCCTAATAATTCTGCACTCCTCGTATCTCTCTCGTAGGTTTGGGTCTTGTTCTGATAGAGTAAAGACAACCTGGCTGATTGTACACCGCTGTACACGGCACACCTGGACTAGCTCCACATCAGTCCGTCGGTCCCAGTGTGCTCTTAACGATTAATGCTTCTCTGGTCTCTGGTCAGGTCCCTGTAATCCACCCGAGTCTCGACCCCTCTCTCCATAGCACCTTCAGACCCATCTCTAAACTTCCGTTCATCTCCAAGATCTTGGAAAAGGTTGTGGCTAAACAACTCACAGCTGCTCTTGATGAACATAACATCTATGATAGCTTCCAGTCGGGTTTTCGTAGAGCTCATTCTACTGGAAGAGCTCTTCTTAGGGTCTCTAATGACCTTCTGACTCACAGTGATGCAGGGGACTGTTCTGACGAGCACCATCAAACATTGGTGATCTTCTTAGTCCCTACACCCCCAGCAGGTACCTGAGGCCCAGTGGCCAAAGCCTACTGGTTGTGCAGCACTGGGCTAAAGGTCAAAGGTCATCTGGATGTTTACTGGTGAGTGAGGAGGAGTGTTTCTCTGGAAGTCAGTCACCATTTCCTTTGTCTTACTGGTGTTCAAGCGAAGGTGGTTACGCTCACACCAGTCCACAAGTCCAAGATGACCGACCTGTACTCCTGGTCCTTCCCCTCAGACACACAGCCGACAGTGGCCGAGTCATCAGAGACCTTCTGGAGGCGACAGCAGCTGGTGCTGAAGGTGCTGTTGGTCTACTCCTGCACCCCCCATCTTCTGCGGCAGTTGACACGGCTGGATGGTGCAGAAGGCACTTGAGAAGTTGAAGAAGAAGACTCTCACAGTGCATTTTTGCATCTGGATTATGACTGCGTCCTTTTCAGCAGAAAAAAAATTGTTACTCTACCTCCTCATGTGCAGGTCAACATGCAGATTCTTGAGCAGTGGCGGCTGGCCACTAGAGGGCGATAGGGCGCCGCCCTCCCAGTTTCCCCAGTGTTTTTAATTTTTATTTAAAAAAATGAATAAATAAAATTAACAATCTACATTGGTCTCTGCCGAGCGGTGGAGGCTGTGTGCTGTTTTTCAATCGCCCAAACAGGACGAGACCAGTTGTCCAATTGCTGACAAGAATATCAAAGGGTAGGAATGGGAATGTATCCAATCAGCGTCGACGTTGTTTCAGAAGCATGATGGGCGATAGAGCTACCGCCAAAGGCTTTCGTTGGTGTTCGGTAGAACTCGGAGAGTCTCGTGACGCAGATGTAATGGACGCCAGTGAGCCTACAACCAGGATTCCGGATCTCAGCAGCCACTGAATTCAGTTCGGTCTCTTCTCCAATATCCGTTCGAGAGGAGAACTATGGTGGAAAAACTTAATGTCAAAGAGCTTGGACCAGATCAGCCCGACGTAAAGATAAGCCAGCAGGAGGAGGAGAGAGGTAAACTGTACACACGAGGCTTCTGGGAAGGCTTGGCTAGCTGGATGCAATCACGCTAATGCGTTATTTTGCTTTCCAAGCGACTGTGACAGATGAGGCATGGATTGAGTCAGGAGTTACGGACATGAAACATTTTTCTGAGAAGGTGAAGAAACATGAGTTATCCCGGTCACACATGGACAACACGGTGAAGCTAGCTATGCTAGGCAGAGCTAACATTGCCATGCAGCTAGAGACGAGCACAGGCTTGCAGTGAAGAAACACAATGAAGAAGTGGATCAGAACCGGCACATTTTGTCCAAGAGAGAGATGTCAACACAGTGTATGAGCACAAGGATGACCTCCTCAGATTTTTCCAGATGATCAGAGACTCGGATGACTTTGATCCATTCACTGAGAGAGACGCAGGAGGCTTTGTGAGAATGCTGGAGGAAGAAGATTTCGGCTTTCTGCTGGCATTGTGTCACAAGATCATGCCACATGTGGACAAGCTGTTCAACCAGCTGCAGAAGAGGAACATTGACTCTGTCTACATCACAGGGGTCATCCAGAGCTTCACCGACAACATGCAAAAGATCAGGTACATACTTGTTTATTTAATATTATTGTGATGAAATTCTCCAGTATGTTAGTTTCACAAACAGTAATGTGGATGTGGACCATTTATGGTCATGCTATTTTATGTGCAATTTAATGCAGTATTTTTCAACCTTGGTCCGCAAGGCAGTGTGCCAATAGTCAGACACACGTGGATTAATCCCTTTGTCCAATAATGTAAGACAGGAAATAAAAGAGCTGTGCTTAATTCAGGAAATAGTGAAATTGTGCACAAAGCTCAGAAAGCACAAGTTTGTTTAAAAAAAAAATAAAAAATAGCACAGCCCCACCAAAAATATTTTTCACCAGCCGCCACTGTTCTTGAGCATCCTTTGTTGTTTATTTTTGTGAACGTTCCCCACCTATTCCTTTCCTCCACCCCTGTCTGTTTCATTTCTGTCCTTGTTGGGATTTAAAACAACCATGATAACGTTTAGATACCAGGCGGGCATCATAGCTGAGCCCATAGCGCTCCAAATGTAAGAGTAACCCCGGCTTTCCACAGCAGCCGTCAGCAGCACGTTACTGCAGCAGCACGTCATAGCTGCTGATAGGAACCGCTGTGGTCAACAGAGCCTTTTCCACTGGAGCCGTCGGCAGCCGTCAGCAGCGCGAGTCGGCCGCGTCTCAGGAGCAGCGTGTCGCGGCCTTTACGCGCCGGTTCTATTTTCTACACGCGACGCCTCTGAAACGGGTCAAGTTCGACATTTTTGGGGAAGGAAAGACAGGAAATCGGACGCGGAAATGGAGAGAAGCTCCCGAGATTTTCAGAATAAAGAACGTACTGCCTTCCGGTTGCTTTACTTTTTAAAAAGGTTACTAACTGTGCGGTCCCGTGAGAAGTTATCACCTAGCTAGCGGTCTCCTTTGTTTTTCAGGTCCGTATTGGCAATCATAAAGCGGACAGAACATAAAACACAAACCATGTTGTAGTTTTCTCCTGCTTGTTGTTGTGTTTACTGATGAAGTCACTCGTGTGACTTCGTGCTCGGTCGGTGACAGCTGCTCCCCTGCTGCTTCGCGTCTCGTGGGAAGGGCCAAGCAGCAGCTTACGCGAGCAAGACGTGCTGCTGCAGTAACGTGCTGTTGACGGCTCCGGTGGAAACCCGGGGTAAGACTGCAAGGCTTGTTTTCAGCACTCAGACATCACTTCTGATTGCTTCACAGCCGGACGGGAAGGAAACAATCCCACAGTGGGAAACTCACCTGCTCACAGGGAGAAAGGAAGAGTACAGGTAAACACACAAAGGCAGTGAGCTAGTACTGTAACCTCCAACCACTAAAAACAAATAAAAAGGTAACGTTCCAGAACTGCGCAGCATAAGGGACACAGACATGCTAACGTAATCAGGTACTGCACAAGTATCTGGTTTACTTCTAAATAAAACTCGTGTTGCATTATTTTTACAGCTTCTTTGTCACATGGTGTTCAACAGTTGAGGTTACTTGTACAGGGATATGTTTATGTCAAATTTCTGATCATTGCTGGAGAAATTCCCAGAGATGTTCAGCACACAGACTGCAGTTGGTGTACATGGTTGTCCGTCTGGACGCGTCCGGAAACCTGACCACACCTGTGCTGTACTCAGTGTAAATGAAGCACAAGTCGGGTAGGGTGAGGGAGCAGGTATACTTACATTCAGCCAGGTTTCCATACGACTGTGGGTAGTTTGGAGACATGAAGGTGGAATTTCCCTCCCAGAGGTCAAAAGGTCCCCCACAGTCAGCTGGGACAGAGATAGACAGACCAAGGTCACTGATGTCCACCAGGCTGTACTCAGTTAGAGACTTGACACAGACTGACAATAGAAAGTCATGTTTGGGGGACACGGTTACGGTCCTGCTGTGGGACGTGGTCTGTGCCTTCGCTAGCATTAGGCTGAGGTCTGATATACCCATCTGTGGGCCTGTGGTTTGTTCTTACATCATCCCTTTAGGCAACTGGTTCCAGTTGACTTATTTATCCAAAACGATAGAAGCACCTACCTCTTCAGAAAATCAAACACCATGAAACCAAAAACACAGATTGAGAGTTTCGGTCTAGCCACGCTCCACAGGAGCCTCAGCGGGCCAAAGCAGTCTTGTGTCTACTATTCTGTGTATCTTGGTGTTACGGCCTCTTCCGTTCCAGGATCACCCCGATCCTCCCGGACCTCCTGTTCCAGGCTGCTGAGGAGCACAGCTGAACTGAATCCACCTGTTGATCCACACCTGGGATATAAAGGCCATGCCATCAGCAGTCCAAGGGTTCTGCTGTTCTTCAGGCCTCGCATTCTGTTTAAACCACTTTTGTGTGTTTTGGAGGATCTAGGCAGGGCCGCCGCTGCCCATACGCAAGGTACGCAGAATGCGTAGGGCCTCGGTACGGGAGGGGGGGGGGGGGGGTGTTATTACAGAGTTGAGTTATTATTACAGTAGCATATTGTTCAGAAAACATACAAATTAGTTGCCCACCTTTTGAGCCGTTGAGCGTTTTCTTAATTATGTAGCCTGTCAGTCAAAATTTGTACAAAAGAGCTATTCTCACAGTTTACAAACATTTACCCCCCCCCCCACGTACACACACTCATCTTGGAAAGCCCTCCAGCAGGTAATGAGGAGTTGTTGAGGTTATTTGGTAAATTTTGGAACCTATAGTTGTTATGTTAATATTTTGTAATGCTGCTCTGAAGAAAGTTGGATAT